CTCTCTTTTTATATGACATTTTTTTCTATACCCAGTCTTCCATTGGTGATCACTTTGTAATTCACCATGACTTAATATTTTTCCTGTTAGCCACTGCCTACACGTGTTTTACTGAGCTCCTCAGGGCAGAAAATTTGTCTTCCAATATTTTATGCTTTGTAAAATGCCTTGTACTCTTATGACTCCTATTAACAATAAATCTCAGTATAAATTAGCTGAATTTACATCTTCTTTGTTTTAGGTGTAAGCTTTACGTGCTTAAGGGTGATGTTTCACCAGCTACTTGATTTGTCATGTGTATCATTACTTTTTAGGTGGCATTAGAAAGCCGCCTTTTGGAATTACTGGGCACCAAGACCAGAATTTATTTTAACCTGCTTCATTTATATACATTTTGTTCCAGAAAAGCAAAAAAAAAAAAAAATCTCTCCATTGTAAGAAAATGTTCCTGTCTTTTTCAATAACTAGACTGAAATCACACAGAATTGTCTACATGCCAGGATGCCTTGTGTTCCAGTTATAAATCTTGTCTTTCAGAGCAAATAGTCTCTGGAGTTATTATTAATGACAATTGGAATCTTTAACATTAGACTTACTAAGTGTCAATATGAAAATATATTGATGTTTTCAGAGTTATTTCACACCAGTCTAGACTTCATTTCCTCACCTTTTTATCAGAGCATGGGAACCACACTTATTACACAGTTGCTTTAGGAGCATGTGATGAATGAGTCTAACTCTAAAGTGAGCAGAGGTTGGAGGAGCTGCATGGCTAATGCTGTTGTACTCCAAGCTCTTGGCTTTTAGGTCTGTGCTTTCCCTGGTTTGTTGTCCCACTCCTTCCAAGTACTATTATCTTGTCGACCAAGCCCACCTTCAGGAGGTAGCCGAGTAGCATCCAGGGTCACCTCTCTCTCGGGCAGTTTTTAGTTTGGATTCTTAAAGGCGAAACAATCTCGGCCACAGGATTTGAGGAAGGTGACCTTTCTGGTACCATCACCAAGGCTTACTTGATGAGCCCCCAAAAATATTTTCCTTAAGAAGAAAGGCGTATAGTAGTTTCTTTTGCTGCCATTTATTCTCTCACAATTCTGGGAGTCAGAAATCTAGGCACACTGTGGCTCAGCTGGTTCTCTGTTCTGTGTTTAAATCAAGGTATCAGCAGGTTGTATACATTTCTGGAGGCTCAAAGGGAGACTCTGTTTCTAGGTTCATTTAGGTTGCTGACAGAATTCGGTTCCATGAAGCTGTAGGGCTGAGTTCTCAGTTTGCCTGCCAGCTGTCAGCCAGGAGACGTTCTCAGATTCTTGAGCCTGCCTACATTCCTTGGCTTGGGCTCCTTTTTGCTCCATTTGCAAAGTCAGCAGAAATGGGTGGGGTCTTTCTCGTGATCTGAATCTCTCTGACCTCCTCTGCTGCTACTCATCTCTCTTCTCAGCTTCCCTCTTCTGCCAAATCTCACTGACTGACTCCAGCTAGAGAAATTTCCTCTGCAAGGGCTCAGGTGGCTTGACTGGGCCTGCCTAGATTATACAGGATAGTTTTTAAAAAAATGTTTATTTATTTTTGAGAGAGGGAAAGCAGGGGGAGATGCAGAGAGAGAGGAAGAGAGAGAATATCAAGCAAGCTTTGTGCCATCAGTGCAGAGCCTGATGTGGGGCTCGAACCCATGAACTGTGAGATCATGGCCTTAGGTAAAATCAAGAGTTGGATGCTCAGTGAACTGAACCATCCAGGTGCCCTCAGGGTAATTTTTAAAAAAGTAATCTCTATACCCAATGGGGTCTTGAACTCATGATCTTGAGATCAAGAGTTAGATGCTCTACCAACTGAGCCAGCCAGGGGCCCCTGTTCAGGATAATTTATATCCTTAATTACATCTGGAAAATTCCTTCACAGTAGGACCTGGGTAAGTGTTTTACTGACTAATCAGGGGATGAGAATTATGGAGGACATCTAGAATTCTGCCTACTTTAAGGTATGAGACCTGTATGATGAAAATGATAATCTTTTTTGGGGGGGGTAATGTATAAAGACCCTTGAACAAATACAGAATTATACCAAATTCCAGAAAGAAAAAACTCATGTGGAAGGATATAATTGCCCCTTAAATTAATACACACAAAGAAATTTTAATGAAGATCTAAATGGGATTGTGGGGGGGCGGTTTCTTAGTAATCTGGCTTCAAAGACAATAATAAATGAATAAAAATGACATGAGAGTTGGAAAAAAAAGTATATTCCCCAACTTATTTTGTGTCTTGTTAGTGCAATTTTAATGCCAAACCCAAAGAAGGACACTACCAGAAAGAAAAATAGAGATCAATCTCATTCTTTCTCATCTATTGGTTTGTGTCTCACAGCAGATAGTCTTTTCCTGCCTTTATCTTCAATTTTGCCTCTTTTCTTATTTTATTTTATATTGTATTCCATTCCATTCTATTATTTTATTTTATTTAAAATTTTTAAATGTTTATTCATTTTTGAGGGACAGAGAGAGACAGAGCATAAGTGGCAGAGGGCAGAGAGAGAGGGAGACACAGAATCTAAAGCAGGCTCCAGGCTCCGAGCTGTCAGCACAAAGTTGGATGTGTGGCTCAAACTCACGAAATGTGAGATCATGACCTGAGCCGTAGTCAGACACCCAACCGACTGAGCCGCGCAGGTGCCCTAGTATTCTATTTTATTTTTAAGTAGGCTTCATGCCCAGCACAGAGCCCAGTGTGGGGCTTGAACTCAATGAACCTGATATCAAGACCTGAGCTAAGATCAAGAGCCAGATTGTTGCAGGATTCTCGCTCAGAGAGTCGTGACACCGAGACTTTTCTTTCCAGGAAGCAACTTTATTTTGCCGGCACCGCTCAGTTGGGTTCGTACCCAAAAGAACTGAGCGGCCCACATCATATGGCATAGGTTTTTTAATGCATTTTCTATTTCTTTGTCTCCCATATATGGTAACACACATAAACATGCAGTCTGATTAAGTTGTTTCAGTTTACAAGAACATGGGGGATGTAGGCAGCTGGACTCCTATCTAGGTGACCTTGAAGTCTTCTCTCCTCTCTTCTTCATTTTTTTCTTTCTCCTTAGGGAGGGGTTCCTACCACAAGATGCTTAACTGACTGAGCTACCCAGGCGCCCCCTTTTTCCTCATTTCTTAAACAAAATGGGAGAGACTCCCAGATCTTAAACAAAATATTAGCACATCAAATCCAGCAATATATAAAAAGGAAAATAGACCAATGGAATAGAATCTGAAGGCCAGAAACAAATCCACACATACATGACTACTTACCTGGTTTATGACCAAGATAGTACTGCAGGGTAGGATGGAGAGGACCACCTGACAATAAGCGGTGCTGCTTTAATTTTCCACATTGAGGGTGGGGGTAGGTATGAGGATGATAGGTGCCTCCCTTTCTTCATTTATAAAAAGTTAATTTCAGGTATGCTTAGAACTAAATTTGAAAAGCAAAACAACATAAGACAATATAAGAGACTATCTTAATGATCTTTGGGTAGGAAAAGATCTCTTCAACAGGATACAGACACCACTACTCACAAAGGAGAAGAGTGATAAATGACTCCATTATGAATTTTTCATCAAAAGACAGTATTTAAAAATTTTTAAAAATGTTTATTTATTTTTGAGAGAGAGAGAGAGAGAGAGAGCAGGGGAGGGGCAGAGAGAGAAGGAGACACAGAATCCGAAGCAGCCTCCAGGCTCTGAGCTGTCAGCACAGAGCCCGACATGGGGCTTGAACTCACAAACCCTGAGATCATGACCTGAGCTAAAGTCGGACCCTTAACTGACTGAGCCACCCAGGAGCCCCTAAAAGACATTATTAAGAGAGTGAAAAGGTGGAGTGCCTGGGTGGCTTATTTGGTTAAGCATCCCACTTTGGCTCAGATCATGATCTCACGGTTTGTGGGTTCGAGCCCCGTGTCGCGCTCTGTGCTGAGAGCTCAGAGCCTGGAACCTGCTTCGGGATCTTTGGCGCCCATCTAGCTCTTCTTTGTCTCCTCTGCTCCTGGTTCTTCTCCCTCACTTTGCAACAGACCTTGATGGCCCAATTAAAACAAGAGAACAGATCATTAGCAAGTGGAAAACATTTCTTTCCTGTTAGTTTAGGAAAATATATTCTTGAGTTGAGGAGGTATATTTGCATAACTGCATAGGCCTTTAAAAAAACAGACTTTGAAATAGCATAGGATGAAAAACAAAATGGTTAAATTTCCATATTAAAAGAAATGTTTGTTTTCATTTTTTTCAAGTTTGTAAAGCGCCTGACCCAGAGTACACAAGAAGTAAACTCTGGCTCCCTGCCCTTCATCCTTTCAAGCTTAAAATGCTGTAAGTTAGGACAAGGAATTCCACAGTGAATTATCTGGTAGCTTCCAGTATATTATTCTTACCAACTAGGTCCTATGTTCAGCTTTCTACTTCACCTTATTTGCTCGCACTGTCAAAGTTTAAATGTAGCACATTCACACAATTATAGTCTTTAAAATTCACAGAAACATTATTTTAAAACGCCTACGTAACTAAAAATTAAAAAAAAATCCCACAAAAAATGTTCGCACAAAGAGTTAAGACAGGTCACAGAGGTAAAACTTTTGCTTTTGCTTGTTTTTTCTACCCTTCTCCACTGTTGCCTTGTGTGGTTCAAGTATCTTTTGTTTGTCATTTGTTTGACAATGTCATAGACTTATCATTTCCAGTTGACCAGGAAACTGAACGCTCTTTAGCCAATTTTCAAATCTGAGGTGAACGTAGCCTGGGTGGTTTATTCGCGGGCCCACGGATCATAACCTATGAAGGGCGTATTCTCGAGGTAAGAGTTTTGAAATAGAAAACTCAGCTTATGCCATACACGGGTTTGAAATCAACACCATGTTGGCCCTTGAAGCTTACCACACACGGGTGTGGTAAGCGACCTGTCATCAAATGACCCTTTTTGACGTCCCCTGGTGATAAAAGCCTCAAGCACTCTTGGGGCCTAGGCTGAATTTTCTCCACTGGCTTGTTTGGGAACTGGCCTCTTCTAAGCTGTGTGGTACTATTAGCTTGCACTGCTGCCGGCTGGTTGACAGCTGAGCTGGGACTCCTCAAGGCAGAGACCTTCCGGACGCGCTCATTTCCACCTTCAACCGCCCTCGTCTCTCTCGCGGCAGTCTAGGACCATTCTCCAGCGAGACAGGACAGAACAGGCTTGAGAAGAATAGGGGGCAGAGGAAGAGTAAGAAGTAAATGTAATTGGTAAGACTCAGAATAAATGGCAGTGTACCCCTGAAACATAACGAGTAGCACCCTGCTTAGCCGCGGAAGAATGAGACACAGGCACCCCGGGCTAACCGCCCGACTGACCCGCCCCCCACTGTCCGCTCGGGTCACAGTCACGTGACCGGGGAGCGGCGCGCGCGCCGGCCGCGGCGCCCATTGGCGGGCGGCGGAAGCGCGGGGTTTGATGGGAAGGACTTGGCGGGGCCCATCGCTCTGTCAGTGGTGGCTGCTGCCTGCTCGGGAGGCAGGCTGCGCGGTGGCCGCCGAAGCTGGCCGACCGGGACGCAAGCGCCGGGCTTTGCCCGCTTCTTGCAGGTAGAACGCTTAAAATGAGGGCAGTTGGGAGGGGTGCCGGCAAAGGGGAAGCGCGCCCCGCTTTTCCCTGGGAAAGACGCTCCCGGTTCCCCCGCTCGCCTCTCCCAGGCGCCCCCGCCTCATGCCCAGTGGCCTAAGCTCTCTGAGGCGGCGGCGGCGGCGGCGGCGGCTCGTCGAACTCCCGCCGGGCCCCGCGCTAACCAACCTCGCCGCCTGCTCTCCCTTGATTCCCCAGCCAAGTGCCAGGGGGATCTCTGGCGTGCTGAAACCCCCATTCCCCCACCTATCCCCGCGGAGGGGAGGTGGTTTCCCCGCCTTGCTCTCAGGGATTCCGGTGTGGGTGTCCGGGTTGAGCAGAGCACCGGCTCTTTGCCCCACCTATGTCGAGACGAAGGGTCAGAAGGTTCTACGCTAAGCTGTCACTGGAGTGTTCTCCCTATCTTTTTTTTCCCCCCTCCTCTGAGTTGTGCGGAGGCGCCAAGGATTGGGAGGGACCGAAAACTGTCAGTGTCATGCTGCTCGGCCCAGCCGTGTGGGCGTGGATTCCGTGCTGCTAAGAGAAGCCTCTCTTCCACCGTTGTCCTTATTTGAGAGACGGTGGGCGGTGTAAGAGTGGAGGGCAGGGCGAGGTTGCGTAGGTGGCTTGGGACAGCCGAAGGGAGAAGAGCAAATTTAGACTCCATCGATAGTTTATTTCTTTGGGGTGGCTGGGTTCGGTGGAGCATGCGACTCTTGATCTCAGGGTTATCGGTTGGGGCCCCGCATTGAGTGTGGGGATTACTTAAAAATAAAATATTTAAAGAAAATAGTTTAATTTTTTAATATTGTGTATGGGTATTGAGAGTTGGGATTAGTGAACTCCATTTTGCTGATGGTGCCCTCGTGGTAATGAAACTGGTGACTCATTGAATTTTCCTTGTTCTGCTTTTCCCAGTTGGCTTCTGGTTTGTGTCAATTGTTTTTTCCTCTCTATCTGGCTTGGGTGTCACCACTGACAGAAATGACCCCGTTCACAGCAGTATGTGTGCATCTGAGTAAGCTTGGCTTCAGGCATAGGTCCAAACTGGCAGGGAACGCTCATTTCTTGTTCTCTGCAGCCTCCATAGTTCCATTTTAGGAGGAAGTTGATTTTGAACACGTTTTTAAAAGCAAGAATGGTGCATTTAAAATGAGAATTTTAAGTTTCTCTGTCATCTGTTAACATCAGCCCAACACTATTAATAAGCTTACTTAGTGTTTATATGATAACTTGAGAGAGAATGTCAGAAAAGAAGTTCTATGACTATCAAACAGCTATGATTTAATATAGAAACCTTTCTAATTAAATAATCATTTCTTGGAAGTGTTTAGTTCAGAATGAGCATCAGCTTACCATGAAGACCAGAATTAATCAATGTATAGTAAAATTACTTTTAGAGGTGTACTTCTTTTCAGCAGTTTTATTTTTGAGCAATAAATGTGGTTTGGTATATTTCAGAGTTGCCTTTTAGTTAGGATATTTGAAAGTTAGAGTTCTAGAACAAATCACTCTTAAACTTAAATTGAATAGTACAGTATAGAGGTACTGTTGATGGTCACTGAATAGTTTCCACTTAGGTTTGGAAGTTGGTAAATATAAAAGTTAACTTGCTTTGAAAGTTAACTTGCTTTGCTGTTAAAGGCCTGTAGGATTATTTTAATGGAAGAGCCAGCAGAATATTTTGTTTTATTTTTTTAATACTAGAGTAAATGAGAGCAGAACAGTTTCATTTAAAGTACAAACTGTTGGGGCGCCTGGGTGGCTTAGTCGGTTAAGCGTCCGACTTTCGCTTAGGTCATGATCTCGCGGTTCGTGGGTTTGAGCCCCGCGTCGGGCTCTGTGCTGACTGCCGGCTCAGAGCNAGAATTTGATCTAACAAGGACATAAAACAGTTATTCTAACTACATAACTGCATTTGAGATGTTCGAGAAGTTAAGTAGACCCAAATCAGGCTTCTGGAGATGAAAACTACAAATTATTCAATGAAAAATATACTGGATGTGATAAATAGATGATTGGACATGGCAAAAGAAAAAGAGAGGGGCACCTGGGTGGCTTAGTCAGTTAAGCGTCCGACTTTCGCTTAGGTCATGATCTCGCGGTTCGTGGGTTCGAGGCCCACGTCAGGCTCTGTGCTGACTGCCGGCTCAGAGCCTGGAGCCTGTTTCAGAGTCTGTATCTCCCTCTCTCTCTGACCCTCCCCTGCTCATGCTGTCTCTCTCTCTCTCCTAGAAATAAAATAAAATAAAAAAAAATAAAGTACAAACTGTAACTGATTTTTCCAATTTTAAAATTATGAAAACAGGTACTTTATAAGTTTAGAAAGAAAGGCGTCTGTATGAGGAGTATTGTCTGTACTAGGAGAGCTTTCTGATAATAGTAATAATAGTGGCTACAGCTTATTATGTACTCACTACTTGTTGGGCACTGTGTCAAATGATATATAATTTCATTTAATTCATACAATAATTCTGTAAAGGGTAGATATTTTCACCCACTATACAACTGTGAAAACTGAGGCTTAGAGAGTTTAATTTACCCAAGATCACATTGCTAGTATGTGGTTGAGCCATATTTTGAATCCAGACCTTTTTTACTCCTTTATTTTTTTCATTTTATTTTTAAAATTTTTTTGAAATGTTTATTTTTAGGGGGGAGAATGCCAGCGGGGAGAGGCAGAGAGAGAGAGGGGGAGATAGGATCTGAAAAAGGCTTGGCGCTGACAGCAGCGAGCCCAATGTGGGGCTCCAACTCACGAACCAGGAGATGATCACCTGAGCCAAAGTTGGTTGCTTAATCAACTGAGCCACTCAGGTGCCCCTCCATTATTTAAAAAAATGAATACATACATACATACATACATACATACATACATACATACATTCATTTTTGGCATGGGGAGAGGCGCAGAGAGAGAGGGAGAGAGAGAATCCTAAGCAGGCTCCATGCTCAGTACGGAGCCTGAGCGAGGGTCAATTCCATGACCCTGGGATTATGATCTGAGCCAAAATTATGAGTTGGATGCTCAGTTTACTGAGCTACATCCCTAGTCCATTATTTTAATATGACTTGAAGTAAGTCATGAAAATGTAAGAATGAAATGACCCAAGATTTTAAATTTGGAGACCCAAACCTGAGTGTGAATATCAGTTAACGTTGAACATTCAAAACATTGAAATAATATGGTGGGCATAATTATTTATTGGAAAACACATTAGATGCGCCCAGCTCTTAAGGTCATGTCAGGTGCCACTGTGATATCAGAGTGGAAAGAGACTTTACACATTCATGGAAGAATTCTTGGGGACAAGCCACTTGAGACTGAGCCATCTGTCCACTCAAGGGCAGACATTGATTTATGCTTCTCAAAGAAATGGTAGTTATTTGCTTCCTCTTTATTTTGCGTTTGTTGGAAGAGATAGATTAGGAAACAGCAATGACCACAGCAGTAAAAACAATTTGTATTGAGGAATTAGTTATGTGTCAGACACTGCTGTAAATACTTTAGAATACATTATGTCAGTTTAGCCTTTCAATATTAAGATTTTTTTAATGTTTATTTTTATTTTCTTTTAATATTTATTTATTTTTGAGAGACAGAACGTGGGCAGGGGAGGGCAGAGAGAGAGGGGGACACAGAATCTGAAGCAGGCTCCAGGCTCTGGGCTGACAGCCAGAGCTGCGATGCAGGGCTTGAACCCACGAACCGCGAGATCATGACCTGCGCCGAAGTTGGCTGCTTAACTGACTGAGCCACCCAGGTGTCCCAAGCCTTCTGACATTTAAAAGAGGGTCCTTAGCTATCTTTCTGTTACAGATGAAGCTACTGAGAGGTTAAATAACTTATTTAACCAAGGTTTCATAGAAAGTAATGGGCCACAGGAATTGGAGTATGGCAAGGAAGGAAAAATTGTTGGAAAACAGAAGAGATATGAAGTTAAAGCTATAGAGAAAGTTGATTTACTTAATTTTGTTATGCTTTCATTTTTTATTTTTTTAAACGTTTTTTATTTATTTTTGAGAGAGACAGTGCAAGCAGGGGAGGGTCAGAGAAAGGGAGATAGAGAATCTGAAACAGGCTCCAGACTCTGAGCTAGCTGTCAGCATAGAGCCCGAAGTGGGGCTTGACCCCAGGAACCGTGAGATCATGACCTGAGCTGAAGTCGGACGTTTAACCAACTGAGCCACCCAGGCGTCCCGTTATACTTTCATATCTGTTGGAAAGTACTACCATTACTTGTGTATTGTAACCAATCAGCTTCTTAAATACTGGAATTTGATAGGAAAATTGCTGGAACAATGAAAGTTGACTCATTCTTTGATAATGATCCCGAAAGCATGAATATAGCATTTAATGACTATTTACCACAATGTTGTTTTAGAGGACAAATTCTGAAACAGGATAATCTGCTTCAGGAATCTTAAAGGCTAAGGCATAGTTTATTTCATTGACACCATAACAATTCTCCAAGCAAGTAACTGATATCAAGGCTGGTATTAATTGCAACATTATGCATATATTTCATATTATACATACTTAAAAAGTGATATGCAGTAAAAAGTAAAAGCAGTGCTTGCAGACTTCTTGTACCACTTTTTCCCCTAACTGGAGCTAGCTGCCAAAATGATTTGGCAAATCATTTAGCTTCTCTTCCATGCAGATTTAAGCATTCAGATTTAATCAGATGAAGGAATTGGGCTACATGATACACTGTACCAACACTGTCTCTTGTGTTTGTAACTTACTTTCCACTTCAGTAGCTGTTTACCAGCTATTTGAGAATGTCAGAGGTGCTTTCATATTTTTTATATATAAATATTCCAATCTAATTTATATAAAGCAGACTTTATTTCTGATTATGTGTTATTAGGAATAACTAGTTGCTTCATAAAAAGTCAAAAGTAAAATGTTGTGTCTGGCTCTCCTGCTTAGTATTTTTGGGACCAAATCACTTCACTAGCCTCGGTTTCCAACATTTGTAAAATGGGATGATAGTACCTAAATAATAAAATACATGTAAGGCACTTGTTTTAGGGGCTCCAGAGAAATAGTAGTATTTACTATTTAACTGGTGTCTTTATTGTTGTCATTACTTTTTTTTCAATGTTATTTTAAAGAACTATTTTTAAAAAACGTTTATTTATTTTTGAGAGAGATAGACAGAGTGCGAGTGGGGAAGGAGCAGAGAGAGAGGGAGACACAGAATCAATCTGAAACAGGCTCCAGGCTCTGAGCTGGCAGCCTGACATGGGGCTCAAACCCACCAACTGTGAGATCACGACCTGAGCCAAAGTCAGAAGCTTAACCAACCAGGTTAAGAACTATTTATTTTTAAGTCAACTCTACCCTCAACATGGCACTCAAACTCATGACTTCAAGATCAGGAGTCCCATGCTTTACCAACTGAGCCAGCCAGGCACCCCTGTCATTACTTTTACATATTAAAAATCCTGATTTGTGATGGCTACAAACTTAACTTGGAGGCATATAACTGTTATAAACCAAAATGTGTATAGATCAGTTGTATACAAAACACTATGCTAGACACCATATGGTTAATTACCAAATAGTAGAGAATTACTATATACTTTGAGAATACCAAGTTAAGTGGTTCATATAAATCCCCTCCCCCACCCTGTCACCTTTCTTAGTATTTTTAGCATCTTAAGAAGGTTTCGAGATCTATTTAATGTTTTAACCTAGAAAGTTATAGGTTTATTCATTAAAGTTTCAGGATTTCCTATAACTGCATTTTAGAAATTCGAATACTTAGTTAATATTGAAGAATTAATAATACTTAGGTTGCAACTTAAATGTGGCTGTTAACATTCATTATATTTATAAACACCAGAAAATTTCAGGACAGATTATTGGTATATCTGGTCCTAGAAATCACTTTGGAAATGAAAGTATTTAAGCTCTTCTCTACCCAAGAAAGCCCAAGATGAATATGTCTTATGCTAATTCCAATCTATAAATAGTGTTGCAGAGTGAATGTATTTACTCGGTAGTGGTGTTATTTTGTGGTTACATTAATGGTTTAAAAAAATGTAAGAATTATGGCCTAACTTTTTTGTGTGTGGAAATGAAGTAGTTTTATACATTAGCAGTATATAACTATGCCTGGTAAAAGTATATATTCACTATTCAACTTAAAAGAATAAAAACTTATATAGTTATTGACTGGTAAATTGATTTAGAATCTAAGATTACTGATACATTTTCATCCATATGGTAATACTATAATACATTTGAGAATCCTAGAAAAATGGCTAAAATAAGGGCATAGATATACGGACATGGAAGTCAACTGATTTGAGGGACTTAGACCCAATTTCAGAGAGGAATGTTTATTTGGATGTTGGAACAGTAGTGAACAGACCAGAAATCTGAAGATAGAGTGGCTTTGAATCATGTTTCTTCTGAGCTATTGATCAAATTGCTGAATGTCTTCTCACTTAAGTTTCTTATCTGCAAAATGGGAATAATGAAGGCTATCCTGTGAAAAATGGTGGTATAGTAAGTTTAGTTTACAGAAAAAAACTAAAGCTCCAGAAGCATTAAATGATTTGCTCAAGGTCACAGGTAATCTTGTAATCCTTATTTTCCTATTCAAAATCCAGTTGGCTTTCTGTTATTACTTGTAAAATGATGTTATGCTAAACATTGTAAAATGCTCCTAATTCCAAATAACTAGTTTAGTTGGGATATAGCTGAATGATAGAAATATTGTATCTAAGCGGATGGAGTGAAAGTAATATAGTAAAACTTTTCTTACAACATTAGGGGACCTACTTTAAAAAACAGCAAATTACAAAGTAGCATGCATATACACTGCTGAAATACCTTGTCATTTAAAAGCCTTTACAGCTTATTTTTACTTTTAAATATGTCCTGTTTTGGAAGAAGGGATTTCTTGAAGGGTAGCCTCTATCCCAAGACTCTCTGAATTGAAATTCCACATAAGTGGAGTCCAAAGAAATTAGTATTGTATGTTATTTTTTGGCAGTATTGCAACATCTGTATTTTATAGTGGGTATGCTGTGTGTTTAACTTAAAAATTTTAAATACTTGCTTTTTTTCTAGCTGTGAATTCCTTTGAACAATTCATGATATTTATCATTGTGCCCAGTTTCTAAAAATAAAAGATGGGTGGATTATTTTCTCGATGGAAGGTAAGTTATTTTTCTTTATGGCCAGTTCTTAGTCTAATATAAAGTGTCACATAAACCTATTTGTAAAAGTCTCCTTTGTAGTATAGACTTGAGTAAAGCTTGATATTATCCCTAATTCTACTTAATTTTCTTCCTTTTCTTGTGGATTATAAGAATTATAGTTCTTATGAATTATACGTGGACTTTAATAGTTCTACTTGCTATGTAGGTATGTAATGTCTCTGTTTAAAATAGTTATTTCACTTTGACTTATGAATTATTTTTATTTATATATGCATTCATGTGCAGATGGCTATCTTTTCTTGCCTTTTTTCTTTATATTGCCTACATTTTAATCTTATTTGAAAAGTAGTTGAAATTACTGTTGTGGTTGAAATAGTTGAAATTATAGTTGTATGCTATACAATATCTGTTTTTACAGGCTATCTCTTTTTCTTAAACCTTGCCATAAATATTTGCTGAAATTATACTAGATATACTTTTAAGAATTAGAGGCTTAAAACAAAATTTAAAATGTAGTTTGATTTTATTGGTTAAGGCCCTAGAGAAAGTATCTCCAATTTAATGCTATAAAATAGAAAATATATTAATACATGCTCTTTTCTAATCTGAGAGGAGATAATGTAACTCAGACAGACTACTTTGCTTATTTTTAACTCCTTTTTAGTATAATAATGGAGTCTAGCAAAGCTTGGCATAATAATTTTTGGACTGTTACTGGAGCTGCTTTGTTTTGGATTGGTATTCTATGGACTCCTTGCTCTTCCCTTTAAAACTTTACTACAGTTCTGCTTGAGGATCAAATTTGCCTATTTTTTCTTTGTCTTTGTTAGGTTGAACCATATGAAATTACCAATATTCAACAGTTTTGACTTACATAAAAAGCAATTTCATATGGTTCAACCTAATGTTAACAACTCTTATGGGAACTATAATCAATTGATATTCATTACCCTCTTGTATTATTGAGTACATAATTGGTAAATGGTTTCACAAGTGTTGTATGAGACATTTTGGCTGGTTTTTATTCTAGGTGTATAAAAAATATTTTTTAACAAACAAGCTCTGCTATAATGAAGAATTCTTAGATGCCCTTTTAAAATCTAATATTCAGAAAAGTACTCTAGGAATACAGAATGAAGGTCGCCTATTGATTTTGACGTTCAGAGTCCTAAATGACTTTTAGCAACAGTAAATCAGACCATCTTTAGTCTTGAATTTTTAATATATGAGTTCTTTTGAATAATCATATCTAAGAAAATTTTTCTTGGAGGAAAATTTCTTACTCTCTATAAAAGTATGTCCTATTGGGGTTAAGAATGGTAGAAAATGAGCTATCAGAGTTGAAAATACTTCTAGGACTAAAAAAGGCAAGTAGGAAAATGCTTCTTTCTTTAATCTTACATAGTTCCTTTATAATTTTAATTTAAATCTAAATGTTATTTATAAATAAATAGGAATACACATTGTTTAACAACATTTGAAAAAAATTTTGAATAAAAATGTTTTTATGATTTTATAAATCAAAATGTGTCTAAGTTTGCAATAACAAGTTTTAATGTCCCATCTGTTCTTATAACAGACAAAACGTTCAACTGTAGAAGTTCTGGAAAATATAGATAAGGTATGTTTTTTAGCTCTGGGGTGTTTTAATTTGTCTTAGGTATTACATGAATATTAGTATAGTATATGTGTGGAGTATTTTGGAGACTGGATCTGGTTTGGGAATTTAGAGATGATAGAGAGAAAGCCTGAGAACTTTAATGTTACATTATCTCAAAAAAATCCAAAGTGATTGATTCAGTGACTTAAGTCTGTGTCAATAGAACCTGTTAGAATGGAATTAGATGCAGAGCATGGCATAAATCAATCTTACAGATAGGATAAGGTAGATTATAAGCTAGTCTGCAACAATTTTTGTCAGTCCACAAACTTCACAGCTTTTTATACTTTCTATCATTATCAAAAATGGTTATTCCTTAGGAATATTAAGAGTAATGAATAGATTGAGAGAATCTAGTTATGGGTCACTGTTTCAATTTTTATTAATTATTTTTTTTTAAAAGTTCATTCATTTATTTTGAGAGAGACAGAGATAGCCCAAGTGAGTGAAGGGCAGAGAGGGAGACAGAGAATTCCATGCAGGCTCCACACTGTCATCACAGCGCCCGACATGGAGCTTGAACTCATGAAACTGTGAAATCATGAACTGAGCTGAAACTAAGAGTCAGATGCTTAATCAACTGAGCCACCCAGGCACCCCAATTTTTATTAAATTCAGTTTTATTTATTTTATAGCCAGGTTTTTTTAGACCTTATAAAGGGAGAATTATTACTTGTTTAGTTTAATAAACATTATTTATTGATGTCAATTTCATGCTTGATCTTTGCTAATTTGGTAGGTTAAAAATAGTATCTTAATTTTGCATTTAAGAGTAACTTGTCAGAACAAGCATTTTCATGTTTTTAAGCTCATTTTTAATTTTCTTTTTTGTATGTTCTGTTTAAAAATATTAAGGTATTATATTTCATTGACTTTCAACAATTCCTTCTATATAACCTCTCTATAATAAAAGTTTTTGTTAACATTTTGATTTCTGTATGAAATTTGAGATTCATTTCAATAATATAGAATAATTTTCTCTTAACAGGAAATTAAAGCATTGGAAGAATTTAGGGAAAAAAATCAGAGATTACAAAAATTATGGGTTGGAAGATTAATTCTCTACTCTTCAATTCTCTATCTGTTTACATGTTTAATTGTATACTTGTGGTATCTTCCTGATGAATTTACAGCAAGACTTGCGATGACACTTCCATTCTTTGCTTTCCCATTGATGTAAGTAAATTGTTCTTTTAGTTGACTTTTCCTCTTTTTGACCAGGTGGTTTAAATATGTTAAGTCTCTCATTAGTATGAAATAGTAATGTCTCAGTTTGAGTAAATTTTTTTCCTTCATTTTGAAAAGTATTTCTTTAAAAAAGTAAACCAAATGTTTTAAACCTTAATTTATAGCTCAACATATCTGAGGAATATGAGTCAGTGACATTAGTAGTAATGACTCTAGGTGGGAATCTTTTGTGATTCTGTAATAGATGGTCATACTCCCCTAGGGGTTTAGGGCATAGAGTGGAAATCTCAGATTGTGGGTAGTGGTAAGTGAGGAAGGGTTTGTAAAAACAAAAGGAACAACTGACCCAGTAATTCCAAATATATTCTATTCATTCTATCTCTCTTCCCTTCTCTTAGTTACTGCTATAAAGCAATTGATAAATATAAATATTTTATAATATGGGACTTTACTGAAAGTGTGTAATGATTGAGGATTTTGAGAGACAATTGAGTAAAAAATTGGAAACAATTCTTGGTATTTACGGGTACCTGTTTTGTAGGTATTAGATTATAATGGTGTATGGTATACAAAAATAAAAAATCTCTGACTGTGTATCTTAGACTGCATATATCAATTAGTAAGTATGATGAATATTCTGAAAGAGAAGTGTTAAATGCTATGGGAACAGTTAACAGAGGCCCTAACACAGTCAAGGGTGGAGGTGGGGGTCAGGGAAGGGCCTTTGTATTTATTTTCTATTATTGCCACAAATTTAGCAGCTTAGAGCCACGCCCATCTATTGTATCACAGTTTGTGTAGACCCAGGTGGCTTGACTGGAGTCTTGCAGGCCTAAATCAAAGTAATCAATCAGCTGGACTGGGATCTTATTTGGAGTCCTGTGGGGACTTGGGGGGAATCATCAAGGTTTAGTCAGGTTGTTTGCTGACTTGTGCTGTATCTCTCTGACTTCCAATTCTGCCCTCAACTCAGAGAAAGCTCTGCCTTTAAGGGTTTAACTGATTATATTAGACCCACCAGGATAATCCAGGATTATCTCCCTTAAAATCAACTGAGTAATACTTATTTTATTTGCAAAGTCCCTCACAGCAGTACCTAGATTACTGTTTGATTGTATAACTAGAGGATGGGAATCTTGGGGAAGGAGAGAGCTAGAGATAGCTTTAGAACTCTGCTTACTAAAGCCTCCTTGAGAAGTAATCTTTGAGTTTGAGATGCAGAGAATGATTATGTGTATGAAGGGTGGTGTGAGATGGAGTTGCTAGTCTTTTAGGGAGAAGGAACAGCATATATGAAGGCCCTGAGGTGGATAGAACATGGCAGTTTTAAAGAATCAAAAGAAGACCAAAGACTGGATTATAGGGAAAGTCAGGATAGTTAGGCAAGGGATATTTCTTTAGGGCTTCAGAGTCCATGATAAGGACTTCAGGACTTAATCTAAGAGTAATGGGAAGCCATTGAAGATTTTTAAGAAGGGATATGATATGATCATATTATTATTTTGAAAATACTATTGAGGCTATCCCATGGAGAATAAATTAGAGGGGAATAAGGATCGATCTGAAGCAGCAAGTTAGGTTATTATAGTTGTCTGGGGGAAAAATGATTGATGGTGATTTGCAATTGAGTGGTGATAGCAGAGTTGAAGAGAAGCAGATATGCTGAATGAAGTGGATGTATTCAAGAGATTTAGGTAGTAGAATTGAGATAATATGGAGAGGCTCTTTGGTGATTGGATGGATGTGAAATGAATAAATGTAGTAAGGATAAAATTTAAGTTTATAGTTTGGAAAGTTTGGTTGATGGGAGTGTCATTCATTTAAATAGGGAATACCATGAGGAATAGCAGGTTTGGTGACCCACTGAGACTAAAGTACCTGTGTTCTATCTAGATGGAGCTGCCAAGTGGGATGGCTAAGTAGGAGTATGAAGCTCAGGGGAGAAATTTGAATGGGAGATATAAATTTAGGATTCGGCAGCTTATAAATATTAATCAGAGCCATTATCTGTTCATTCAGTAAATATTGGGCACCTGCAATGTGTTAAGTATTGGGCTAGACTCTAGTGATTGAATGAGAAAGTAGTGACAAGGTCTCTGCCTTCATAGAGCTTACATTGGGATTAGATGTTAAAAAATGAGAGACAAGTAAATAAACAGTTAATTTAGAGAGAGATAAGTGCAATGAAGAGAATAAGTGCAATAAACAGGGTGATGCGCTAGAGAGGAACAGGTTTCTTTTGAGAAAGTGGTACTTGAGTTGAGAACTAATATGTGGGCGAGAACCAGCATGTAAAGAGTTGGAATTTATGGAAGATTATTTATGTATACAATGTATATACATATATGCTTCGCTGGGCATGGAGCCTATTAAAAAATATATATGCATATAATATAATGTATAACAGTAGCATATATATCTCCATAGAGAGATATAGGAAAGCCTTATCCTCAAAATTTTAATGGAAATTCTGTCTAGGTGATGGAATTTTAAGTAGTTGTTTCTTTCCATATGCTTTTTAGTATTGTTTGAATTTTTTTACATCAGAGTATTCTTTGGATACTGAAAACAAAAATCCAAGAATCGAGGGAAGATCTTTATAGGAAAAGAGAATAGAAAATACAAAGGCTGGGAAATAGAAGAGAGCATGACTTATTTGAGGGTCTATGATGGAGAGAGTAATAGGAAGTATGCTTGCAGAATCAGATAAGTTCTGGATCATGGGAGGATCCTAGTGCTAGGAGTTTGAATTTCATTTTGGGTGAAATGGGAAGCTTGTAAGGTTTTAGTGGAAGGTTTTAGTGGAAGAATGGCATGATGAGGTTTAAGTTAAGAGGATCATGTGTGTTGCTGTGGAGACTGAGTAGCGGAGGACAGGGGTAGAAACAGATATCGGCTAGGGTGCTGTTATAGTTTAATCTAAAAGTAAAGATGGATTGGACATACCAGTAGCAGTGGAGATGAATAGATGACTTGGCAGTATTTCGGAAGTAAAACTGAGACAACTTGATGGGAGGAAATGGAAGGTAATAGAAAAGGAAGAGTGGGGATATTTAGGTTTTTTGAGGGGTGTAGGATAGCTTTCTTTGGGATTGTTGTAGTAAAAAAAAATTGTAGTTCACAACATATTTTCAAATTGGGACTCCTGGAGATCATAAAATGTTAGCTTTGTATATAGGTAAAAGAACCAAAAATTGAGTGCATGGGTATTATAAATTAACATCTCTGCCATTTTCTTTATTTTTTTTCTCTTTTGAAATCTTTTGGAATGCTTCTTATCCCAGGCATAGTAGTGGATTTTATAATGCTGAGCCCCTTTCCCTTGTTCCTTTCTGGTTTTTCATTAAAAGAGGGGAGAAAAGAAATTTAGAAAGGGAATACATGTGATGTTTAGTTGATTGAAACATCTTTAAAAACCTTAAAAAAACTCACTTGAGTGCCACTTAGGTGGCTAAGTCAGTTGTGTCTGACTCTTGATTTTTTCTCAGGTCAGGATCTCTCAGTTGGTTAGTTCTTATTACCCTGAATGGGGCTCTGTACTGACATTGTGGAGCCTGATTGGGATTCTTTCTTTCTTTCTCTCTCTCTCTCTCTGTCTCTCTCTCTTCTCTGTCTGTCTCTCTCCCCCTCCACCCCTTTCTCCTTGCATACATGCACTTTCTCTCTCTCTCAAAAATAAATAAGCAAACTTAAAAAACCCCTTCAAAAACCCACCTCACTTGACATCCATTTCTATATAAAAATAGATTTTTTAAAAAATTATGAAACATTTGTATCTAGTTGCAAAAGAATGACAGGGAACTTTACTGTGTTAATTATAATGGCTGTTCACAAATTGTGATCTACTGGATCTGCTACTATGCTGCAGAAGACTTTTTTTGGCAAAAAAATCATATACTAATTGTTCCTAAAATTAGAAAAACTTAATTTCTTTAAAAAGCTTATTTCTTCAGTTTGATCTTTCTGCTGTTTTGAATATGAGGCTGTATTATCCTTACCGTGTCCTTCTGCCTGTTCTGCATCACCTGCATCTAGTATTTCTTGGCTTGTTAAGGTTCAGAGCCATTTCTCACTTTGTCTCATTCACATTTGTGACCTGGTTCTTAACTACTGCAGCTTCTATTTCACTGAGCTCTTCACTTTTGGAAGCATAGACCAGTTATCAAACAAAGAATAGCATTGTCCTTCTGATTGATGACAATCAAAAAAGCATGAAATAAAATACAACAACGTGAAAGTGGATGCTGTGGTATAAAGAAAGAAGACTTACCACAGGACATTTTCTTTCAGTGAGCTATTGTCTAAGTTTATTCATGGGCTTTTTTTCCTTTGGAAACAAAAATTTTGAGGTCTGGACCGGGGTTTACTTGAAGAAATGGAAGCAGAATTAGTAATAAAATGTATTGTTTTACTTATCACTGTTTACACTGGTTATAAAGCTTAGAAATCTACCTATAATTGCAAAAAGTGACTCACTTCTGCATTACAAATTTGCCAAATGCTTTTACTAGACAGAGCAGTCATGGATTCGGGACTGAGCATATATTATATAGTCATAACTATCTTAAAATTGTCTTTTATGATAGAATATCAATACTCTGTATAAGATGCCTAGATGTTTTATTATATCTTCTTTTCAGGATGTAATAGGGAGGAGCTTGGTATGATTATCAACCTATTATTTTTCTGCCTTTCAGATTCAATAATATATTTATATCCTTGATGTTTTCAACTATTACTGAAACAAATTATAATCTAAATGCTGAATTTGTTTCATTGGAGTCATTATGGCTGTGGTCCAAAATGAGGGAAGGATGGGGCGCCTGGGTGGTTCAGTCAGTTAAGCTTCCGATTTTGGCTCAGCTCATGGTCTTGCGGTTTGTGAGTTCAAGCCCTGCCTCAGACTCTGTGCTGATAGTTCCGAGCCTGGAGTCTGCTTCGGAATCTGTGTCTCCCCCTCTACCCCTCCCCTGCTCATGCTCTGTCTC